CCCGGGAAAATTACCCAACAAGAACGGCACGGAAAGAAATAACGCCCAACAAGATTGCCCCGGGAAAATTACCCAACAAGAACGGCACGGAAAGAAATAACGCCCAACAAGATTGCCCCGGGAAAATTACCCAACAAGAACGGCACGGAAAGAAATAACGCCCAACAAGAACACCTGGAAAGAACACCCAACAAGAACGCCCAACAAGAACGCCCAACAAGATTGCCCCGGGAAAATTACCCAACAAGAACGGCACGGAAAGAAATAACGCCCAACAAGAACACCCTGGAAAGAACACCCAAAAAGAATGCCCGGAAAGAACACCCAAAAAAAATGCCTGGAAAGAACTCTCAACAAGAATGCCCAACAAAAAGGCCTGGAAGGAACGCCCAACAAGAACACCTGGAAAGAACACCTAACAAGAACGCCCAACGAGAACGCCCAACAAGAACGCCCGGAAGGGACACCCAACGAGAACGCCCGGCAGCAGCAGGATGATGGGAGGCTGATTTGCATGTGAGTTCAGTTCCCTGCAGTCGTTATGGCTGAAAACAAAGTCTGGGTTGAGTCTCGTCTCCTTTAAATAATAAAACAGAAATCTCAGACTTTTCTATGGGAAGCTGTGTGAGAGAAAACACTGAGTTTAAACAAATTTAATAAAAAAAAGGCGTGAAATCTGAAGATGAAGGAGCTGCGAGACGAGGTCTGTAGGAGAGAAACGGGAGAAAAAAGAGGAGGGGGGATTTCAGCCCAGACTTCGGCTCCAGGCTCTATTTTTCGACGACCACATAATTGAAAAAGTATTTAGTGAGATTTGTGTGTGCCGTTCTCAGCATAGTTCATTCAGACATAATCTGCTCTCTCATGTGTGGCACATGCTGCAGGATTTAAAGACCGTTTGAGACCAGAGTCGTGCAAAGAGCTTTTTTTTTTTTTAGCGCTTTTCTGTGCCTGGAAAGAAAGTTAAAGAYGAGTTGCTGACTCTGAGCGGGAAGCAGAGGCCTGGATCTTCATTATGAAACAATAACACATGAAAGTTATGAGCTGCTCTTTCTCAACAGTTTCTTTGGGGTCGTAGACGTCTGTGAAATAAAGGATAACACGGGCGAGGCGCTCACCTTCAGGATGTTGACGAACGGCGCTCCGTCGGGGCCGTAGCGGCTGCCGTTCACCTCGATGTGTTTGAGCCACTGGATGTGAGGCTGAGCGTCGCTGTAGACCTTACAGTGGAACTCCACATCGCTGCCCACCACCACCGTCTGATTGGCCGGCAGGCCGGCCTGCAGGATGGGCCGGTGGGGCGAGCGCTCTGCGGAGCAACAAACAAACAAACAAACAAACAAACAAACAAACAAACAGCGTCACAAACAAAGCGAGTTCCTGCTCCACGACCCGCTCTGAAACAAGCGTTTACCCAGAACGTCCAGCTGGTAGGTGTGGCTGATGGTCCCGTACTTGTTCTGCACCACGCAGGTGTAGTTGCCCCGGTCTGACGGCACCACGCTCTCCATGACGAGGCTCTTCTGCTGGTGTCTGAGCTGCAGAGAGGTCGACACAAAACGCTTCAACTCTCAGGGCTCAACAGGACCAGGAGGACAGGTCAGGAGCAGAGTTCGGGTCAGAGCTCAGTGATGTTCCATACCGGTGTCCTCCAGGGCTCTGACACCAGGTAAAACTCAGGTAAAACTAACTTTGCTAATGCTGCTAACTTTGCTGACATCACTAACTTTGCTAATGTTGCTAACTTTGCTAATGCTGCTAACTTTGCTGACATCACTAACTTTGCTAATGTTGCTAACTTTGCTAATGCTGCTAACTTTGCTGACATCACTAACTTTGCTAATGTTGCTAACTTTGCTAATGCTGCTAACTTTGCTGACATCACTAACTTTGCTAA